TTGTTGCCATGTTTTTTTTTTATGATTTTGCCATTCTGTTATTACCTACAGCTGAATATGAATCCCATAAGAAACAAAAGAAATGTGTTTTGCCTGCTCACTTATGCTTTCTTTACAAAACCTACTGTATACATTCTCCATGGTTTATGCAAAACCTTTGAGCACAACTGTGATGCTCCTTTGGATGGTATTCCATAGAGGGTGCAGGTCGAGGTCAGGAGTCTGCCCTGATTTCATGTAATACGCAGAAAAAGGAGAAACGAAATCTCAGCCACCCACACACAATTCAAGCCTGGCGTTTGATATAAGTGATAGCAGCCTCAGCCTAACTGACCATGCCCCCAACATGTTCTGCCCTGCCCATGGCTGAGGCTGCTGTCAGCTATCACATGCCAGGCTTGTATGTTGTGCAATGGCTGAGATTTTTTTTATCTCCTTGTTGTGCAATTTGGTAATACTGAAATGTGTGTTACAGAACTGTGAATTTTATTAGCATACGTTAAGGTACATATGAATCTCAACAATCATACTGGAAGATTGTTGTTCTCGTTTAAATTTACTATTAGAGATGAGCGAATTATTCAAAAATTCGATTCGGCTGATTTGCCGAATTTGAGGAAGAAATTCGATTCGATGCGAATTAATTCGCTACGAATTTAACTTATTAAAAGGGTTTCTAGGCTTCAGAGAGCCTTTAAATTAGTGCAGAACACTGTACCTTTAATTTAAATGCCCTTGGAGATGAGGAAGGAGAAGGAGAAGGATGAGAAGAAGGAGAAGGATGAGAAGAAGGAGAAGGAGAAGGATGAGAAGCAGGAGAAGGAGAAGGATGAGAAGCAGGAGAAGGAGAAGGATGAGAAGAAGGAGAAGGATGAGAAGAAGGAGAAGGATGAGAAGAAGGAGAAGAAACAAATAGATACAATGTTTCAACCGCTGTATGGAGGGAATGTCACAGAAACTGTCAGAAATAGGCTATTTCTGACAGTTCTCTGACATTCACTCCATACAGCGGTTGAAACATGCCTATGTTTCAACCGCTGTATTATCTGCAGAGCTCCGCTAAGTGTATCTGCAGAGCTCCGCTATTTCTGACAGTTCTGTGACATTCCCTCCATACAGCGGTTGAAACATTGTATCTATTTGTTTTCCATTTATGGAAACAAATAGATACAATGTTTCAACCGCTGTATGGAGGGAATGTCACAGAACTGTCAGAAAATTGTCAGGGCTCCCAGGTATGACCAGAGGTGTGTGACTGAAGCAGGGAAACGCAGACCTCAGATATGTTATAAACAATATAATTTATTAACACTAACAGTACAAAACATAAACGCAGTGCAATACTAAAACATAATACGGTGCAAACAAAAAAACCACAAACCACCCACAGATAACAGTATATACAGCAAGCGTCGTCAGGCAGGCCGGGTCAATATCAATTGGCAGGTAGGTACAGGGGGAGCAAGCGGAGAATGGTCGGGGTCACAGGCCAGGTTCAGCAGGTAGCAAGCAGCATAGTACAGAGGGTCAGGCAGAGGGATGGTCCGGGTCACAAGCCAGGGATCAGAACAGGTAGCAAGCAGCGTAGTACAGAGGGTCAGACAGAGGGAGAGGGACAGAAAACAGGATGCAGGACAGATACAGGGCCCAGGACAAACACAACACCAAGGCAGAGTCTGCAAGTCTGGCCCATCCCTTAAATACCCCAGTATCATCAGTTCCAGGTGTTAGCTGGCTGAAAGGTTGAGTCTCTGATTGCTGGGAGCACCCGCTGGCCAGCCCTGGTACTGCAGATCAAAAGGCAGGCAGTGAGTCCCACCATTGCTGGCCAGTCCATTCCTAACAGTACCCCCCCCTCAAGGAGCGGCCTCAGGACGCTCCAAACAGTCCTAGCTGGGCATGTTCCACCGCCCGGGTCTGGCAACTGGCGGGATATCAAAGACTGGCACACCGGGCAGGACTCCGGGCAGCGGCACACCGGGCTGGACTCCGGGCAGCGGGCAGAGGCACACCGGGCAGAGGCACATCGGGCAGAGGCACATCGGGCAGGACTCCGGGCAGAGGCACATCGGGCAGGACTCCGGGCAGAGGCACATCGGGCAGGACTCCGGGCAGAGGCACATCGGGCAGGACTCCGGGCAGAGGCACATCGGGCAGGACTCCGGGCAGAGGCACATCGGGCAGGACTCCGGGCAGAGGCACATCGGGCAGGACTCCAGGCAGAGGCACATCGGATTACCAGGCGGAGCAGCAGGCACCGGGCCCCCGGGCGGATCAGCAGGCACCGGGCCCCCGGGCGGGGCTACAGGCACCGGCCCCCCGGGCGGAGCGGCAGGCACCGGGCCCCGGGCGGAGCGGCAGGCACCGGGCCCCCGGGCGGAGCGGCAGGCACCGGGCCCCCGGGCGGAGCGGCAGGCTCCGGGCCCCCGGGCGGGGCGACAGGCTCCGGGCCCCCGGGCGGGGCGACAGGCTCCGGGCCCCCGGGCGGGGCGACAGGCTCCGGGCCCCCGGGCGGGGCGACAGGGCTCCGGGCCCCCGGGCGGGGCGGCGGGCACCGGGCCCCCGGGCGGGGCGGCGGCGGGCACCGGGCCCCAGGGGGGGGCGGCGGGCACCGGGCCCCCAGACGGGGGCGACGGGCACCGGGCCCCCAGGCGGGGCGACGGGCACCGGGCCCCCAGGAGGGGCGACGGGCACCGGGCCGCCCAGGAGGGGCGACGGGCACCGGGCCCCCAGGAGGGGCGACGGGCATCGTGCCCCCAGGCGGGGCGACGGGCATCGTGCCCCCAGGCGGGGGCGACGGGCATCGTGCCCCCAGGCGGGGCGACGGGCATCGTGCCCCCAGGCGGAGCGGCGGGCGCCGGACCTCCAGGATGGAGCGACAGGTCTCGGGCCCTCAGGCGGAGCGGCGGGCGCCGGACCCCCAGGAGGAGCGACAGGTCTCGGGCCCTCAGGCGGAGCGGCGGGCGCCGGACCCCCAGGAGGAGCGACAGGTCTCGGGCCCTCAGGCGGAGCGACAGGCGCCGGACCCCCAGGCGGAGCGACAGGTCTCGGGCCCCCAGGCGGAGCGGCGGGCGCCGGACCTCCAGATGGAGCGACAGGTCTCGGGCCCCCTCAGGCGGAGCGGCGGGCGCCGGACCCCCAGGAGGAGCGACAGGTCTCGGGCCCTCAGGCGGATGAGCGGCGGGGCGCCGGACCCCCAGGAGGAGCGACAGGTCTCGGGCCCTCAGGCGGAGCGGACAGGCGCCGGACCCCCAGGCGGGAGCGACAGGTCTCGGGCCCTCAGGTGGAGCGGCGGGCGCCGGACCCCCAGGAGGAGCGACAGGTCTCGGGCCCTCAGGCGGAGCGGCGGGGGCGCCGGACCCCCAGATGGAGCGACAGGTCTCGGGCCCTCAGGCGGAGCGGCGGGCGCCGGACCCCCAGATGGAGCGACAGGTCTCGGGCCCTCAGGCGGAGCGGCGGGCGCCGGACCCCCAGGCGGAGCGACAGGTCTCGGGCCCTCAGGCGGAGCGGCGGGCGCCGGACCCCCAGGAGGAGCGACAGGTCTCGGGCCCTCAGGCGGAGCGGCGGGCGCCGGACCCCCAGGAGGAGCGACAGGTCTCGGGCCCTCAGGCGGAGCGGCGGGCGCCGGACCCCCAGATGGAGCGACAGGTCTCGGGCCCTCAGGCGGAGCGGCGGGCGCCGGACCCCCAGGTGGAGCGACAGGTCTCGGGCCCTCAAGCGGAGTGGCAGGTGCCGGACCCCCAGGCGGAGCGACAGGTCTCGGGCCCTCAGGCGGAGCGACAGGTCTCGGGCCCCCAGGCGGTGGGGCGGCGGGCGCCGGATCCCCAGGCGGAGCGACAGCGGCGGGCGCTGGACCCCCAAGCGGAGCAACAGGTCTCGGGCCCCCAGGCGGAGCGGCGGGGGCACCGAGACACCAGGCACGACAGTGGGCTCCGAGTCAACTGGTATGACCGCAGGCACTGGGTCAGACATTGGATGGTCTGGCTGGACAGCGGGCATCGGGTCACCAGGCATCAGGTCATTTGGCTCGACAGCGGGCACCGCGTCATCTGGCAAGGCAGTGGGCTCCGAGTCAACTGGTATGACCGCGGGCACTGGGTCAGACATTGGATCGTCTGGCTGGACAGCGGGCATCGGGTCACCAGGCATCAGGTCATTTGGCTCGACGAGCGCGGGCACCGCGTCATCTGGCAAGGCAGTGGGCTCCGAGTCAACTGGTATGACCGCGGGCACTGGGTCAGACATTGGATCGTCTGGCTGGACAGCGGGCATCGGGTCACCAGGCATCAGGTCATTTGGCTCGACAGCGGGCACCGCGTCATCTGGCAAGGCAGTGGTCTCCGAGTCAACAGGCACGACAGTGGGCACCGGGTCATCAGGTACCGGATTGTCTGGCTCGACAGCGGGCATCGGGTCATCAGGTATGACAGCGCGGACACTAGGTCACCAGGCATCAGGTCATTTGGCTTGCCAGCGGGCACCGCGTCATCTGGCAAGGGCAGTGGGCACCGAGTCACCAGGTACGACAGCGGGCTCTGAGTCAATTGGCACGACAGCGGGCACCGGATCAGGTACCGGATCATCTGGATCAACAGCGGGCATCGAGTCAACTGGCCTAATAGGATCGTCAGGCTGGATCAGTTCATCATGCTGGGTAGAGGCATTAGGCCGAGTAGAGGCTTCAGGCCGAGTAGAGGCATCAGGCGAGCCGAGTAGAGGCATCAGGCCGAGTAGAGGCTTCAGGCTGAAGAGAGGCATCAGGGGCGAGTACAGGCTTCAGGGCCGGTAGTAGAGGCTTCAGGCCGCGTAGAGGCTTCAGGCCGCGTAGAGGCTTCAGGCTGAGGAGAGGCTTCATCAGGCCGCGTAGAGGCTTCAGGCCGAGTACAGGCATCAGGCCGAGTACAAGGAGGCTTCAGGCCGAGTAGAGGCTTCAGGCCGAGTAGAGGCATCAGGCTGCGTACAGGCATCAGTCTGAACCACGGAAGGCAGGCTCACCGGTTTGGATACTGGCAGGATGGTATTGGTTGGAAAGAATTTTTGCTTTTTTTTGGTTTTAACTACTGGAGCACTGCAAGTAAACGCAGGTCTGCAAACGAATGGAGCAGCTGGAGACAGAGAAGAACTGGAGGATGGAACAGGAGAGGGAGCAGTTGCTACAGAGGGCTTTTTTACAGGGTTAAAGGCAGGATAGGTGCAGCGAGTGGGAACAGGGTACTGACATGCGGTAGATAGCCAAGTATACTGGGCTGTAACTGGAGGAGCTGGTGGGAATACAGGAGTAGAGTTAGAAGCAGGACTGGGTCTTTGTAAGCTGACTGATGAGGCTGGGTGCAACAAATCTGTCCATGTCTGCAGTAGGGGTTGAACAAAGCTGAGCTTACACAAAGTCTGTCTGGTCAATGACTGCACTGCGTTTATACAATCTCTCAGTGTCTGTGGTGAACATGTGGAATAACGCTCCAGAAAGTAACCCACATCATCCTCTAATAACCACACCAGGGACTCTACCTGGTCTGCACTAAATGGTGGCAAAAAATTCATCCCTGCATTCGGGGGAACCAGATGAAACCAACTCTGCACAAACCTCAATCAATGGCTGCACCTCAGAGAACACTGTGCCCTGATCTACTAGAACATGAGCGAGCCGTATACATTCTAGCAATTCATCCCGGGTATACTCCTTCAGAGTTTGATAAGCATACTCCCTGTCATCAAACACTAGCAGATATAAATACTCAACCTCCTCAAGATCCATCCTTCCCATCAACAAGCCAAGATGGCTTCCCTGTGCAGCCACTTCTGGTCAGGATTGGCCTTGGTGTAATGTCAGGGCTCCCAGGTATGACCAGAGGTGTGTGACTGAAGCAGGGAAACGCAGACCTCAGATATGTTATAAAACAATATAATTTATTAACACTAACAGTACAAACATAAACGCAGTGCAATACTAAAAATAATACGGTGCAAACAAACCAAACCACCCACAGATAACAGTATATACAAGCAAGCGTCGTCAGGCAGGCCGGGTCAATATCAATTGGGCAGGTAGGTACAGGGGGAGCAAGCGGAGAATGGTCGGGGTCACAGGCCAGGTTCAGCAGGTAGCAAGCAGCATAGTACAGAGGGTCAGGCAGAGGGATGGTCCGGGGTCACAAGCCAGGGATCAGAACAGGTAGCAAGCAGCGTAGTACAGAGGGTCAGACAGAGGGAGAGGGACAGAAACAGGATGCAGGACAGATTACAGGGCCCAGGACAAAACACAACACCAAGGCAGAGTCTGCAATATGGAGGGAATGTCACTGAACTGTCAGAAATAGGCCTATTTCTGACAGTTCTGTGACATTCCCTCCATACAGCGGTTGAAACATTGTATCTATTTGTTTCCATAAATGGAATTTATGGAAACAAATAGATACATGTTTCAACCGTTGTATGGAGGGAATGTCACAGAACTGTCAGAAATAGCCTATTTCTGACAGTTCTGTGACATTCACTCCATACAGCGGTTTCAACCGCTGTATGGAGGGAATGTCACAGAACTGTCAGAAATAGCCTATTTTGACAGTTCTGTGACATTCCCTCCATACAGCGGTTGAAACATTGTATCTATTTGTTTCCATTTATGAGGATGAGGAATGAGGATGAAGAAGAAGAAGAAGAAGAAAGAAAGAAGAAGTAGGATGAAAATAAGAAGAATTCAAGCCGCAAAAAAGTGAATCTGCAGAGCTCCTCTAAGTGTATCTGCAGAATAGAGGAGCTCTGCAGATACACTTTTTGCCGGCTTGGAATTCTTCTTATTTTCATCCTTCTTCTTCTTCTTCTTCTTCTTCATCCTCTTCCTCAGAAGAAGAAGAAGAGGATGAGGATGAGGATGAAGAGGAGAAGAAGAAGAAGAAGATGAAAATAAGAAGAATTCCAAGCCGGCAAAAAGTGTATAGAGCTCCTCTATTCTGCAGATACACTTAGAGGAGCTCTGCAGATACACTTTTTGCAGGCTTGGAATTCTTCTTATTTTCATCCTACTTCTTCTTCTTCTTCTTCTTCTTCATCCTCATCCTCAGAAGAAGAAGAAGAGGATGAGGATGAGGATGAGGAGAAGAAGAAGAAGAAGAAGTAGGATGAAAATAAGAAGAATTCCAAGCCGGCAAAAAGTGTATCTGCAGAGCTCCTCTATTCTGCAGATACACTTAGAGGAGCTCTGCAGATACACTTTTTGCCGGCTTGGAATTCTTCTTATTTTCATCCTACTTCTTCTTCTTCTTTCTTCATCCTCATCCTCATCCTCATTCTTCTTCTTCTTCAGTGAGGATGAGGATGAAGAAGAAGAAGAAGAAGAAGTAGGATGAAAATAAGAAGAATTCCCAAACCGGCAAAAAGTGTATCTCTCTGACTTTCACATTTACAGCGGTTGAAACATTGTATCTGTTTCCGAAAATAAAAACATCTGTATCCTAAATGGAAACAAATAGATACAATGTTTCAACCGCTGTACATGTGAAGGAACTGTCAGAGAACTGTCAGAAATAGCGGAGCTCTCTGCAGGGACACTTTTGCCGGCTGATCGGGAAAAATCCGATTCGCGCACCCGAAGTAGGCTAATATTCGGATTCGACGCGAATTGAATTTTTCCTGAAATTCGAATCGAATTCCACTTCGCCTGGTTCGATTCGCTCATCTCTATTTACTATGTACCATGTTTATGGTGTTCTGTATGTTTATATTGAAATTATAGTTTTGTCTCCAAATTATCACTAAACTCTTTTAACTAATTAGGCTCTTCACATCTCTCACTCGTTCCATATAACACAGACATTCACACATATACAGAGAGAGAGAAAGTAACAGACAGAAATGCATATGGGTATGACGTCATGTAGAAAGCCTCAAAAGTTCTGAGCATTATTATTAGCTACTAAATTATTATTTAGAAGAGGTTGAAAGGGGTGGTCACAATCAGGATGTTCTTGTGACAATGAAAAGCCCTAGTAGAGACTGATAAGACCTAAGAATAGCTGTCCATTGAGGTGTCTCTGAGTTACTAGCAAGTTTTCTCAGGGCTGTCTTCAGTGACCTTTTGCACTGTGTGGATCACAAATATGGTCATGAAGGGATATGTGCCATCATCTCTTTCTATATTAGCGGCCTTGAAGAGCTGAAAAAAAGTCCCTTCCTCTGCAGCTATTGGTTCAGAGACAGAAAGTTTATTTTGTACATCTGCTGCTATCAATCAACCAGCCTTGTGCACAGGTCTCTTTTCACAGAGCACTTTTCTTCTTCATCGTTGCTGTTCCCGAGTGACTTCTTGCTTGTCATCTCCCACCCAAGAAATCTTTTTACTGGATTATTTTACTGTGAACTTATTGTTCAAGCTTGGAAGCTGGTTGCATCTATTCTTCATCTTGTGATCTTGTGGATCAAGTCAAAAGACGCAGTGAGTCTGCTGCTGTACAGATCCAGGACTTCACTACTCTTCTTGTACCAGGATGGCCTCACAAAAAGTGTGGCTGTTGTGCCTTCTGGTCACAGTTATTTGCTCGTTCCAGGCCAATTTATTGCCTGGGGTACATGGACAAGCTGTAGGCCAAGATCATGCTGATGATGATGATGATGATGATAATGATCATGTAACTCATGATGGAGATGACAAAGATGACGATGATGACGACGATGATGATGACGATGATGATGATGATAAAGATGATGATGATGACGATGATAAAGATGATGATGATGACGATGATGAAGACGATGATGACGACGATGATGACGACGATGATGATGACGACGACGATGATGACGACGATGACGACGACGATGATGATGACGACGACGATGATGATGACGACGATGATGATGACGACGACGACGATGATGATGATGACGATGACGACGACGATGATAAAGATGATGATGATAAAGATGATGATGACGACGATGATGATGATGATGATGATGACGACGACGATGATGACAACGATGACGACGATGATCAAATTGTAAAAAAACATGATGATGATGATGATGACGACGACGACGATGATGATGACGACGATGATGACGACGATGATGATGATGA